GAATAAACGAAGACAAGCAATCAAGTAAAGAAGAGGATCCACGATGTCATTAGTACCGATGAAACACACATAAAAACTAGAAAGGGTATGCCGAAGCATATCACCATCATAACATCGACAGTGCTGGATTCACTCGGCAAAATTGTGTTCCACAACACCTGCTCGTTGTGTGTTAATGTGATCCCGAAAATTCTACAGGCGACTAGACCCCCGTCAACAGAGCTATAAAGGATCGAGCGTCACCGTCTAAACAGCAGAACATCCTAGGTGTTGCGATGAAATAAGCTAGTGATTTGGCTGTATAATCTACTTCTAAGAATGTCCGACTAGTCATCAAGGAACACGGGAATCCGGACCGCATTGTGTTAACCAAACAAAATGACCTCCATATGCATCCGGCCAAGTCACACGTTGCAAATATCAAGCAGTCGGACCTGACTATTCCATCTGCAGACTGTCAAGATCGTGCAAAAAAGTGGAAGGGACAGGTGCCATCAACACATAGGACCCTTTGTGGGCTGGTTGCCTGTCCATTATCATAGTGCTAATTCAGAAAAATATGACGAAGAGGTTTATGCGCTTTAGGTGGAAGGCATTAACTGCCGATGTACGAACGCAGCGAGTTGCGTGAACTACGTAACGCTAAAAATACTCATCTGAAATATGGACTTTTCAAATAACAGATAGCATGCTAAAAATACCTGGAATTTCCTTTTTTACAACGACAGAAAAGAGTAACAGGGGCAGAGTGGCCCTGTACCTACGATCTTGTTTGGGTAGCACATCAAGTGTACGCCCTAAAATTCATCAGTCATAATGGATCTGTGTGATGTTCAATAAGATTATCGAACACCTTGAGGTCTCTCGTTGAAGGGATTATCTCCCTCCATTCGTCTCGGATACACTCATGTTCTGACTCTAGGAAACTTCAATCTTCCTAAAGTCAACTTCGTCGAACATACGTACATTGGAGACGGCAACTCTAATGAAACTCTGTTTTTCAACTTCATCAGAGACCTGGGATTATTCGAAAACGTGAAGCTGGCAACTGGCTGGAGAAAACGTCAGATACTGTTATTCTTAGACTATTTTTACGAGTGGAGAATTCCTAATTGACAACTTTTCAATCTTGGCTCTCTTGGGTAAAAGTGATCACGCCGTCATAGCTATCAATATTATCTGCAAAACTGAGCTAAGTCATCCTTACGTCAACAAGTATTGGAATTAAAAATGGTTGGATGAGTTAGCTTTACAGGTCAATCTAAAGTAGGTGGATTGAGAAGCCTAACCTCAAATTGATGAGGACACTCATTGGGACTTGTTATTGCACACGATCTTACGTGCTACAAATGGTGCTATGAACGGTCCCAAAAATCTACAAACAACTCACAGTCATCAAGAGTTGCACCATTGGTTCGCTAAGATGCGAAAGGCTATACTGGGTGGAATGCAAATAAACCAGTAACAACAACACATGTAGGCAATTCAAAAATCACGGAACTAATGAGAAAATGCAAAAGGAAAAGACAGGCTTCAGTATCAAATGAAGCTAATCGATAAATTCGTCTCCAATCCGAAAAGCTTATTTAGTCATGCAGCCTCTCTCCGAAAAGCCAAGACCTGAGTCCTTAATTGCTAGGTCCTAATGGCCCAACCAACAATAACGGTGACGTCATCGACCTTCTGGTGGAACAGTACTTCCGGACAATTCGACCGGCCCACGCCAACTATGTCGACGAGAGATCCACCTACAACGCAACAGCATTCTCAGGACTGAATCTGAGTACTGAATTGGTGTATCAGAAGGGTTAACTTCAATTATTGTCAGGCCACACGATAGGCAAGTGGGGTCCACCAGGGTTCAGTACTACGACTTTCTCCAGCAGGCACCGTCTAATTTATTACCTTTTACTGGCAATGTGAGACTCTTGAGAGACGTTTGCAGACATGGGGATATTTTGACACTTCAGGAGGATCTGACTCGACTTCAAAGTTAAGCAGACGACTACAGACTTTTCTGCAACACTTCAAAGTGTAACGTAGTCCATCCGAGGCACAATGTAACTAGGCAACTCTTCTCTTGAGGTATCTCAAGTCGAAAAAGATCTGGGAGTTTTGATTTCTCATGATCTGAAGTCTTACGCCAACTGCGGCAAAAATATCTTTCTGGAAGATCTTGAAATGACAATATAGAAGTGCATTTCTGGTCAGTCTGATGGAAGAACTTTTCACCTGATCTCCAACGGTGTTGTCCGATCGCATTTATAGTGTGGAATCATAGTTTTTCTTCCCTCACTCCAAAAGGATAAGGACACACTGGAACGCATTTGATAACGAGTCACAAAATCAGTTCGATGATCCAAATTCAAGTCTTATGAACAGCGCCTCCAACTACTGAATTTTTACCCATTAGAGTTCAGGCGTCTAGAGGTGACCTTCTAATGACGTATAGCATCCTGAACACTAATGAACATCCCCTTAAACACATACTTAATCTTAGGAGTAACACCCAGAAACTGGAGAAACAATATAGCAGAACGAACTGAGGGCACACATTCTACTCCTTAAGGGCAGTTTAATATATGGACTCTCTGAAAACTGAGCTAGTCCAAGCCACTTCCAAGGAGTTCTTCAAGAGGAAACTTGATATATTCTTACGGACTAAGTACAGTATCCCACTACGATTTGCTAGTCTTTCCTTTCTCTTTTATCGGTAAGATTACCTAGGTTCTTACCTGGAGGCATCAGTGATTGATTGCTACCAGATAAGGTAGCCCATTATGTGGGAGCTTCTTTTATTACATCCAGAACCATTTAAATCATTCAGTTCACGACCGTTCGAACCGTTTTGAAAGTAAAGGTCAAGTGTACATATTGATCGTCTTACGTAAGTTTTAGTTGAAATACAACTCATCTTGTTGGGTTTAGAGCATACTAAAGGGTTAATGCGTGCTATCTTAAATCATTTGATTTTATTTCCTATGACAAGACTGGCTAGCAAACATTGCGGGCTTTTGGCGCACTATGGTGAGCGAGATTCGTATGTCTGTAGAACGGATTGACATAAATTAGTATCTATAAGAGGTTAATGATAGATAGTCTTAATGGACAAGAGATTGTGATCTATGTTCTCAGTTAACTTTCTGGAAAAAACATGGAGTGTCGCAACTCAAGTTGATTGACATCCATTATAGTTGCTTAACGCAACTTATTAAAATATTTTTGGTAATAGAAGAGGTCCTTGTGCTCTTCAGAATTAAAATGCAGTGGAACTCTGTTACACTTTGTTTACAACAACGAGCAAACGACGACTTTGCAACATATTTTTTATCATTAGAGGTTAGTCTTTAACTAATCCCTACAAAACGTATTTCTTGGAGTAAGTAGTTATTCAGAGGTCATTTAATGTGAGTCAGTGGTATAGTAATTTTTTCATTAAGAATGCCGTTGCATAAATGATCCATTACTCACTAGAGCAATTAAACACCTTAATAGTAAAGCTTTTTTTGCTCATTACTAAGGCTGTAACTCACCCTAACTACGATATTTTGCGTGTCTTGGTTATGTGTTATTTTCTGCGTTAATACCTAGGATGAACTGTACGTGTTTCCATCAATAGCAGTTGTGATACGTAGAAATATTATACGAACTAGAAATCCCAGAAATAGTGCAATTTATACCAAAAAGAACTAGGTGAGCACGACGGACGTGTTGTATTTGAAATTCGAAATCAGGAGGAGGATCAAGTACGGAAGAATCATTAGTTTATACAAACACCAACCGCCACAGCTTAAATTAGAACCTAAGTTTCTTTAATCGATTGAACGTCTTCTCTGTAGTTTCAATGTATATTTGTTAGATTGTGTATTGGACACAGACTGCATGATCTAAATTGTATAAATTTCATCACAAATATGTGAATCATTAGGACAAGTGACATCTGATAAAATAACATGAGAAATGTGATAAGTTGATTGACTAGAAGTTTTCGTCTCAGTGGTTCTGAGTTCCATTTAATTTTGGACTGGTTTGTGTTTATACAGTTTTTTGAATTCGTGGATCAAGATAAATGATCATTAGATGCACTCAACTTAATAGGATCGGAAATACAAAGTTTAGCATTGCTTGCAGCGAAATGAACAGTAGTATTACAAACTACCTGAATGTATCCTATCTTATCATATTTAGCATTATGAAATACACATGAATGAGATTTGCAATAGGACAAAGAGTTTCCAAACTTGTGCTCATCTTCGTGACCTGATTCGTAACTTCTCAATGAATTTTTGTCTGAATACGTATCGGGTTGGGATGACTCAATAATGTAGTAGAATCCTTGATATCCTAACGAATCATTTTATGAAATTTCTCCTTTACCACATTCGGAATTTGTACACTTTATATGGTTTAGTATTAGAGCCCCTTTGAGAGTTGCATATGGAAGTGAAATAGACTTTTCTGGAAATGCCAGTTTTTGTTTAACTTTAGGCTTCTCTCCCGATACATGTAAGGAAATATGCCACAATATTAACGTCCTCAACATCTTCCTTGGTTGCAGTCCAGATTTCGAACCTTTCCAATAGCCCTCAAAAGCATCCAAATTCGAATATAAGTTCAACTGTTCCAGCACAGATCCCATATCGACACCAATGTGATGATTAAAAGTATTTGAATTATTACACGAACTAGGAATCATCAAAATAGCACAATTTAGACCAAACACAACTAGTTGACCACAAATGAACGTATTACATTTGGAATTCGAAATCAGACAGTCATCAAGTACAAAGGAGTCATTAGTTCATACAAACACCACAACAATGTAATTTATTCAGTACAATTTTCTGTAGTCAATCTTAAGCTACACAGCAGTGACACACCACAGCCTAATGACACTACTCAACGGCTCAGAAAAAGTTATTTGAGCTAAGTTTCTACTTTAATGGGTAAAAATAGAGTACTTTAACCACCTGGCCACTGTCCATTGAACGCTGACTGTTGAAGAATTAGGTTCAAATGAATCTTGGGGCACCCGAACATGTGTTATTAGTCCACATAATCGTCGACTGTCAGTTCAAGGGTTGTAAAGAGGTCCCAACTCTGATCAGGGTACTCTCAATAATCGGGATCAGTGGTTTGAAACCACGTTGCACACCCCAAAATGGGAAGGAGTGGATCAATACGTTCGTTGTTTATCCCATAGATCTCAAGTTTTAATGTTATGTCATGTTTTTAATTCCTTTTCTGGTTAGTCTTTTCTCACTGAGCATCAGCATGGGACTCAGTACGAATGATTCTCTGTCCACGTTCCATACTTCACAGTATGAATGGTAAGAAGTTAACAAAATAAGAAGAAATGGAGAGGGACTTATTCCATTTCTGATATGAATCTAAATATAAGAGAAAGGGTTTAGAAAGAGCAGTGTTTAGTCATTTTCCTTATCATATACGCTACCATTAGTTCGACCCATCTCTTATGAATATGATTAGTGTTATCTCGTACATCTGTTCCAGGCTTTGCGTTAATGAATGAGATGATATGTGAAAACCTATACGGATGCATATTTTCTTTGACTTACGTTGTTTATGACTGATTATGTGTATTGCTGTCTTATTTTCTGTGTACGTACTTATTAGCAAGTTTGCTACTCATGTAAATTCCAAAATTATGCTTGAGTTCTTCAACAGAGCAATTTTCCAGTAGTATATGACTGATTATTCGAACGGGCTTAGTTATCCTATTCATCTTATAGTATAATTACGTATTTATACCTAAGTCATACATTTTTACATTTTAGTTCCTAGAATGGTAGAAACTCGGAATCATTCTTCTTATTCTGATCCAAGCGTTTATACAACGGATAAATTGGAAATTGATTGGAAAATAAATTTTAGTGCACAAACTATCATTGGTTCAGTCAATATCTTCTTGAAAAAAGTTTGCCCAGACAGCCTCAATCCAAACATTGTATGTCTCTTCTAAATTATTTATGAATAATATCTATTTGTCAAAAATTCTAGAACGTTTACTTAAGGCAAACAGACTCACCATTTTTTGATTGACTGTCAGACTTACGTCAAGAAAAGCAAGTTAGATTAGCTATCTATTTATGGTTCGAAGCGATTTCCCCCGAGTTATCTTTAAATTCTGTTTTCTAGCCATAATATTCACCGAGTATTGGGTATTTCTTCCAGCGTACTTAATAACCCTATGCTTTATGATTTAGTGCCTTTTCTGTTATATATTTACGCCTAATTTCATAAAATTATCATTTCGCCGGTGTTGCTGGCACTTCTCAGCGACAATGTAATTTGTACTGACAGACGTTGTTGTGCATGTATCTGTTACAGACATTCGTCTGTTGACTGTCCCACAAGATTTTATATAGTACTAAACAGATACTATTGAATAAGACCATGGTTATCATTATTATTATTAATGACCAAGGTGGATTTTGGCAAATAATGACTCAAGATTTTGTTAAATGACTTGAAGTAGTAACGACCGGGGATTTGATACTCGTGATAAAATGAAGATTGAAAATGAAAATTTACTAAGTCTTTCTTGCACGTTTGTGTATTGTCTTCTTATCATTACGTGCATTATTATTTGTCAGCCTTATATTGCTCCTATGTTTTGTGAAATACATCCTTCAATGTCATGGTTTTATCTCGAATAACAACAAAATAGCACATTAATTTTCTTTGATGAATTTAAATCCCTTAAAATGTGTTATGTAATTATTGAGTTGAGTTTTCGTGTTTTGAAATTTCAGCTTCTTGATACAAGGAACCTAAAGATTCATTCAGTGTACGTAAATTCGGAACCAGTGAAATGGCATTTAAAACCCATTACTGTCCAAGCTTTTGGGTCTTGTTTAGAAATAATACCAAATACAGCCTCAAATAGGTAAAAATAAATTCAAAGTGGATCCAGAAGTGGTAGTTTGTAGCTTATTTTCTTGTCTGTTATAAATTTCTTGTTAGTTGATATTATGGCATAGAATTCGCGCCAGAAAAGAAATTAACTAAACTGCTATTTATAGATGCACCAATAATTAAATTCAGTAAGAGAAACCTAGTGCTTCAAGTATTTGGGAACCCACTTGTCCGTAGTTTCAATTGCAACGAACCCGTAACTCTTGAACTTAGTTGTATGCAAACCAACCGTATCCAAAATAGCGAAGCCATATTGCCAGCCCATCTATCGTACAAAGAAGCAAAGAAAAATTACTAAACGATCTTTCTTTTAAAAAATGGATAATCACGCAATTTCACTGAAATACCCATCAAACTCATCACAAGTACAAAACCAACCGTGGTGACCAAAATACTGGTTATTCCACCATAACCGAAAAACATAAGAGATTAAAATGGGACTATTGTTGCTTGTGGAAATAAGTGTGACTTACCAGCTAGGAAAATTTACCTTCTGTACCATTCATAAAGCTGGTAGCTTAGTATAAAAGCTTCTACGTAATCTGTAAGTTGTATCGTTCCTGTAAATAGCTTAAATCTTGTTTGAAGTGCTATTATTTCTCATGTATGAGTGAGTCTTGTATGTGACTCTCAATTTATTCCCTTTCTCATAGGTACGACGTCAAAATCGACTACGAAACTTCTCCAGATTCTTCTGCTCTCCAGTGGCTAGAACCACAGCTTACTGCTGATCGACGTCAACCGTTCATGTTCAGTCAGTGTCAAGCTATTCATGCTCGTAGTCTTCTACCTTGTCAGGATACTCCAACTTCAAAGTTTCCTTTCGAAGCTAAGGTAAAGTAGATGGCACATCCTTAACTAAGTTTTGGTGTCATAATTTTCAGTTTTCGATAAAGCTATGAATCCAAAATTAGCTCTTAACCTCAACTTGCCACGGTTTACGAGATAGATCATTACTACATTAGTTGATCTGTACATCGTTTTCGTGTACAACTTACGCTTTTATCTTTAAATGACTTGTAATTTTCAAGTACTATTTCCGTATTCTACTACTGAATTCGAAAGTCTTAGCGTTTTGTTGTTAATTGTGTAGTCTTTTTAGGATCTCCTTTAGTTTTATATGCCTTAAAAACGTTCAGTGTGAGTTGTAGTACTTTTACTTGGTGGTGTTGAGTTGAACTTATTTTAGAGTGAGTGCTTCATTTTAATATCAGATAACCTTTCCTGCAACGTCACTTAAAATAGCTTATTTAAAAGCGGCAAAAATGGTTCAGCTTAATATTGAGTATAGAATAGCTAGTGAAATATATTCTTAAGTGACGATATATACATCGGATGAAGAACGCTTTCGAAAGTGTAACAAATCTTGTATAAAAATCACCAATTATATGATTTTTTTTGCAACAGGGAAGATCATATAACATATTTACGCAATATATACTAATTTGTTTATTTATCAATCATAATTTATATATCTTTTCATTTTTGATATGTAGGATTCTAAAACGTCTAGATGTTTTGATCGTATTCCTAGTTATCTCATTTTAATTCCTACTTTTACTTGTGAATTGGTTTCCAAAATATTTACACCTAAAACTACCCATCCACTTATATAATGAATTTTATAGTTACAGCCGTATTTTAAATATTAAAAATTTGCAGGTTGTAACTACTGTCCATTACCTGAATACAAGTATTCATGAATAAATGGTGTTATTTTGTGTTAATGCTGGTCAAATTTTGTGACTTGAACCGAAAAATTAGTGCTAGATGTGTCGGATATATTTCTTCAGAACATATCAAGATTTATTTCTGAATCATCTAAGCTTTAAAAATACGATAGTAAACTATAAAAATCTTTTCTCTTACTTAGAAGTTTTCAACCTGGTAATCATTCTGATTTAAAAAGTCCAGATACCACGGGCCATTTCCTGTTCCATATACTGTAGTTTGGCGTAATAGTACAGAGAATAAATTTCAAAGTCTGGTAAATGAGCTCAAACTTGGTTATTAAGTTCTATTATTTAAACAAGTAAAACGAGTTTGTTTAACATGAAGTTTAAAAGTCTCGCATTCCTCTAGGTCTGTTGAAGTTGATTTTGACCTTCAAAAATAAATTACATCTTTTGCGAGGTACAGTTACATCATTTTTCTCATAATGATATTGCTGTATCAGGATTCAGTTGCACACAAATAGACACTTAATTAACGAGTTTTTTTTTACTGAAATATGTCTTATCATTGATAAAAGGTAACTGCTCCAAAGGAAACCGTTGTCATCATGGGTGCCAAACGAATTGCAGAGCCATTTTGACCGACGATAACCACCTTACTTACCACTTCAAACAGAGTGTTCCGATCCCCAGCTATCTGATCGCTATTGCTTGTGGGGATCTAGCTAGCAGGTAAGCTCGCGGCTACATAACATGGAAGCCTGTGTGTATTGCATCATTTCATTCTTGGTTATATGAAGCGACGTATTTAAGAAATACTATGAATGTACTGCTGTTGCAATTCTAACATTTTCTTGTGTATCTTTATCATCGTTTAGTTGTAAGAGTAATTAAATCAGTTTAGTTCACCTTTATACATGTTATTTCAATATTATATCACGAAAACTGTCTGCGTAAATCTAGTTAGACCGAACACAGATTAGTTTTATGCTATCATTCCATTCAAACAAGTTTTAATGGTTCTCGAAATACTGTTTAGTCTGTAGATAGCATGTGTACAAATAGTTTCTGTATATTACCACTAACCTTAGTTTGGATTATCTTGTAGTAATTTACGGTACTTTATTTTTAGTTTTATCCCTTAAAGAGAGTTAATTCTTGTAATATTTCTAAAATGTGTTTTGTAGAAAAATTGGTCCACGTTCGTCTGTATGGGCTGAACCCAGTATAGTTGATGAAGCAGCTTATGAATTCAGTGAAACAGAACAAATGATTTTAGCAGCCGAAAATATCTGTGGACCTTATGTGTGGGATATATATGATATCTTGGTGCTACCACCAACATTCCCCTATGGTGGAATGGAAAATCCATGTTTAACATTTGTTTCACCAACTTTATTGGTGTGTTCTGCTATTGGATATAAATTTTATGTTGATTCATACTACAAGCTGGTTTTTTAACATTACATTTTAGAAATTTGTCATTTCGACAAACTAACTCTCCAGTCGTATTTTGACCAGTTATGATTTATTCTAGAAATATATAATGCATACATGGTCGTTATTAAATAGTGGATAGTAAGGATAACATTTTCTGTCCAATCGTCAGATTTCCCTTAAAAATGATTTGGGTAATCACTTGTGAAGTCAAAAAAGACGTGAAAAAATATGAGCATATAAATATTCATGATTCAAACAAACTTTCTTAATTTAAGTACACAAACTCTACTGGCTCTATTCTATCTTTCTGATACCACGTAAAATCTGAAATAAAACCGTTTTTCCCTAATTATAACAGTCAATATAAGAAACACTAAACCCGTCACATTAGTCAGGAAGTCACATCTACCAAAGTTGACTAAAATAGGCAACCATCAAAATAATTTAAATGATATAAATAGACTACCAACCAATTGAATGAACTAATAGACTTAAGAAGTTATTGAAAGATACCTTGTGAATACACTTACAATAATATCATTGTTTTCTGGTCTTATTTCCATCCACTGATCGTGAAAACGTGAATACAAGGGTATGCATATGTCATACTTGCTATATTTTGATTTAGTCATTTTGAGGCTGTTTGTGAAACATCGCTGTCGGCAGCCCTTGAATACACAAAAAGATTAGTCACTGAGGATAGGTGAAAGCTTCTATGAACGCCAGTGTAGATAAGGTAGAGTTGAACGGTAATGGTTTGATGGAGAACATTTGAAAAAGTTACTGATTGTTGTTACTTCATGGTACAGTTCATGTTAAACTTGTATAGTAATGTATAATTTTGGGAGAATAATCTTCCGCAGTGCAGTTTACTTTTTCAAGATTTAAACGAAACTCACCTATCAAAAAATACAAATTTATGTGGCGATCATAAAATTGAACCTATATTCATGTCTATAGTAATTTTAATAGTAACTTTTTCATAAAAGGATGGACTTGGCGAACAATTCCAATTTATTGGCTTGAAAGTTGTCGGATGATGACGTATGTTGTTTTAGAAAATGAAAATAGCAGCCTATTTTAATATTTTCTCTACTCCACTTATCAGTGAAAATCGTTATTACTATTGAATAATAACTTAAAATATCTATTCATAAGGATCTATTTCTTGTTTACCTGTGGAAATCGTTACTTTTAAAAAAGCGTGGTTTTCCTCCAAAGGACAGTACTGTTATATTCAGATTTGATTGTAGTAATTGGGCTAATTTCTCTTGTTTTGTGCTAATTCATATACTACAATTATACATTTATTTCAGTAGCGATTCTTTGTATTTTCTTTATGTTTAATACATCATCCCTTTGCGGCTTATATATTTCAGGCTGGTGATCGATCATTAGCTAACGTAATCGCTCATGAGATCGCTCATTCATGGACTGGTAATTTAGTAACAAATTCAAATTGGGAGGATTTTTGGTTAAACGAAGGACATACTGTGTATTTGGAACGCTTAATTGAAGAACGTATTCATGGGTCGCATATGAGGCACCTTCATTTAAGTTTAGGCTACAAGGAACTGTTGGAAGAAGTAAGGTGTATTAATTTAACTAAACCCCATTAATTAAACGAGGGGATTTTTGAACCTTTATTTACCACTTCATTTTATGTAGCAAGTAGTATTACTTTGACGATCCGTAAAACGCTAAATTTTTTACCAACTTAAATTACTGTTCGAATGTTTTTGTTTCCGTTGTCTCCCTTTATGTTCCACAGCCCACGAATTTCATTAATGCAATCAACAAAGCTATTATTTTTGGATTTTTTCTTTTGTTTGTTTAATGAAGTATTCTTTGGCAGATATCTTTACCGCCATCACTAGGTCATAAATTTTAGTGGAGGATAATGAGCAACCAGTCGTTATTACCAGCTAATACTTATGCAACACTTGGCAATCATTTTCATCTACTTGTATGGTGAGATTTGTAACCTTAGCTTTCCCCCTTGTGGTGGTAAATCGGTCGTGAATGTTTTGTGGCCTAATTGAGCTGTACTGACTACAAACTTGTTTTCTTATGATCGCCATGTTAGCTAGACTTAATAAAAAACTTAAAACCAAAAGCAGCTAATGTGGTGTTCAAAATACTGTTACACTTTTGGGTTTATATATAGTCAATTTTCACTGGTAAGTTCAATCGTTTGGCATCTCTGAAGCGTTTTTCAAGCCGATTATAACCTAATGCGAATTTACCTTCTTCATCGTCGAAATGAATAGTTGAAGGGCGGTTGTAAAGTTATTCCTCACCCTTTCCTCTCCTACGGATTTTCACCATCCGTAAAAAGCCTCGTCTAAAAGCCAAACTCGGCAAAATCACAATCTTTATAAATCCCATCTGCGAAAACTTCCTTCTGCTAGAGCTTTATGGAGTTTGATAGAACAATTCAGTAGTGCACATTCATTTTGTTTTCTAGCCAGGTCAAGAATTTTCAGTTTAGGTAACCGTAAATTTTTAATTTCACACCAAACTTTATGCCACCAGAATATGTACCGTTATCCTTTTCGGTCTGTGGTGTCTAATTTCTATCTGTGATGTGGGATTGGCCTATAAAAGTGCAAAACAATCGGATTCTAGTATGTGGTTCATTCTAGCTAAGCAAAGCTGTAGTTCAATCGTTACAGTGCATAACTTTTAGCCACTAGGCCAGGGGTTTGAACCCCGCTGTACCGTCTTCTATTTCGGTGACTAAACATTCTTAAAACCGAATATACAGACTTACGCTTGTTTACTAAGATACATCAATATTATTAGATTGCTACGTTTCCCAATTTAAATGTAGCGCCTCACTATCTATAGAAATGCGTTGTTGGTTTTGAGTAAGAACATCTGTAATTATATGGATAATCAAGATTTATTATTATTTTTCTGATGACCATAACAAATACGTAAGGCAATTATATTATTTTAACGCTTGTCTGTTACATTATCTCGTTATCATCACTTACAACTTTACCCCGATTTCTCCCCTTTTTGTGATTTTATTTTCAGCACAAATATGCTAATCAATCTTAACTATTATGTTAAATATGTTGATTCCTCTTGTTTCTTAAATTGTTTCGAACTAAATTTGATTGATTATAGTATGTAGGAACACTTTTTATGATATTTTTGTTATAAATTTAGGCCATATGCAGCTGATTAGAAGTCCTGAAATATATTGAATTCATCTTGTGCTGCAAATATTTTTCTCTCTTTATTTAACTTTATCAAAGGATTAGAATGTATGAGACAAATATGTTTCTTGAGAAGATGCTCATTTTTAGACATACATTTACATGTGACGTCCTATTCCCTACTTTACGAACTGATAATATGCACCTGGATAAACATAAAGTATCCAGAAGGTACAGTTCTTTTAGACGAATCTACAGCAACATTCAATCTTTTGTACACCATGTACGCATTCAGAACTCCAATGCATTTCATACCTTCCAAATACAAATGCTGTTTCTTGGTGTGTCCTTAACGTGTAATTTGGCTATTGAAAGTGAAATAGATGAGCGTGTTAATCATTTAAGATACTTCAAGAGGGCTAAAGTGAAGTTGGTGGATAGGTTTTTGATAAAATCTCACTGCAGATACTGATTGCTTGTCCTAAACTACTCGTCATAAAGTTCAAGGAGAATCTTTGAACATATGTGCATTAGTGCACTTCTGTCGATTTTTTGGTTATCAAGTGCACATGTGAAAGTAGGAAACAAGGTTTCTATATACACTAACAACTTTTGATAGGTCTGTAGCCTAGTGGCTTTTACAACTTTTATTTATTGAACCACGAGTTTAAGCTAATATATCATTAAGTTAGATGATTATGATTGATACACAGATGTACACTAAGTTATTGAGTTACACTGCATTTAGTAGTCAGATTAGGAAACACTAACAACTAAAATCGGACTTATTTGGTTCTTCAAAATTAACAGATAAAAAAACTTGGCCCATCGGATCCAATGACAAAGCTGATTGTAGACTTGGAAGGTATTGATCCAGACGAAGCTTATAGTCGAATTCCATATGAAAAAGGATCTCTTTTACTCTACTACTTAGAGACTTTATACGGAAAAGGTAAGCCAAATTTTTGTTACCCTTCGATGTTATCGTTACATTTTTAGGTTATTAAATTGTTTTTGCTGTGCACGCTCTTGTGCGATTTATGTTTACTGATACTCCCTTTTATTGATATCCACTCTTTTGATGGTTGTTCTAATGCATGCCCTCTCCTTCAAGAGTACCCTAGGAATGTAACTTCTGTAAAAGTTTCTCCTTATTTTTTGTTTTTACCTATTAGCGCCTTGTTCATAATTGCAAATTTTACTCTCATATTTCACTCATTGTAAGTTTTCCGCTTTCCAGAACTGAATCCTTTCTTTTTCGTTTCTATTTATTGCCTTCCAGATTATCGCGCAACATCTTTCTACTTTAAACAATAATCTATTGCTTTCCTCCCAGATATTCTGTTAATGTGATGTTGTCCTTCTACTAATAATTTAGTTATCTATTTGATATTATTATTAATATGATTTTGTATCTCTGGGAAATGATACCAGGAAAATAATTTATTATTATTATTATTATTAATGGCTTTATTCAATATTATATTTTGGTACAATATAGAATTCTTCTCTGAAATTAATCCAGAGATCTTTATCCCATTTTACAATGGTGCAAACTTTGTCAATCAGATTCACTTTAATTGATTAGGTAATGACATTTTACATATTGAAGGAGACTTATGTAATGAGCAACTTTTTATAGTACAAAATGTTAAAAAACCATTTTTTGTGCAAACCTTATTTAGAATCTATGCTGAATTGGTTAAAGGCCTATGTGAAACAGTTTTCTGGAAAATCACTTAATTCAAATACTTGGTTGGAATTTTTAACAAGTCAACTAGGTTCCGATGTACTTAACCCGAAACATCAGTTGGATGCTTGGATGCATAGTCCAGGTTTACCCCCATGGATACCAAAGTAAGACAGTTTATAACTCATCTGTAAACGTTTTTTTACTATATTTTACATAAGTTTCCACCATAACTTCCTCGATCATATATTATATATTTACACACAACCCAAAGCAATAGTTTTTATTGTTCGTTGTCCACAAGTTTAGAGACTCAAGTTCCTATCAATTATTCACCGAGTTTACATCCACTGCACTTAAAGCCCTTTGTGAAGCGGTTATTATAATTAACCCGTATGTGATAGATATAACTTATTACCTATTTACTACACCAAGTGGAACTCTCAGAGTTATATCTTTCGTTCTCGCTTCTTCTGAACCTTTATCTTACTATAATGATTCTGTTCCGACTGCAATAAACGATCATTGTTAGTATAACGTAAACACTTAAGACACTAGCTGATATATGCAGAGGGTTCTACAAATTTTGTTACTAGGTTTACTGAAAAATTTCTCCTGAATTCCATCCATGTAATAACTTTGTGAAGTATGATTCAAGATTATTAATGACCCAACATTCTTCATATAGTCCATTTTCAAAATGCCTAAAGTTTTTCAAATAGTTTAAATTTCAGCATATGCAGTCAAGCTAACCAATTCGATCATCAGTAAAATAATCCCATGATGGAAGTGAGGAAACAGGACGAATATGTCATTATAGATATAGATCAGGTTTTGCTAAGTGATTCCACCGTATAGAGAGGCCATAATCTGGTTGTACACTTTAGTAAATTATATGGAACCTGGTGTTAAACTGAGGGAGTCGCCCTTTGCTGTGGCGTAGTTTTCACTACTTACCAGATGAAAAGAATACTGTCATTTGTTGATTTAATAATTTATTTTATCGTCCAAATCAGTACAGGTTTGCAACTGAGGAGAAATAATGCTTCTTAAATGTGGCCTATGTAACTGCCCTCACAAGAGCAGTTCAGGTGGTATTACACAATTGTGATAGATTCATCTCTGACCCCTTACTACTGTTTCTTTGTATCAGTAATGGTTTTGTTGATAATTTATCTGAACAGAAATCCAAAATTAGGTGTTTTTAATAGCATAACAGGAATAGTAGAGAGCTAGCTGACTGAAACACAAAAATTACGAGGAAAATAACTGCACATTTCAAATCAACTTATAATACACTTAAACACTCTAAAACGCATACATAATATGAGTAGTTAAAGGTTCATAAATTGGATATACCTTTAAAACTTATTCACTTATATCTCACTGTTATCATTTAACAAAATAATAGTTGGCTAAACCGTTAGAAACATAACATCGTTTCCTAGTTTAATATGAAAAGCTTATTTGAATTCATGAGCAAAGTAAAAAAAAATATGAATTAAAAAAAGGATCTGTTCTTATTTCAAAGTCATATTTTGTTTATAAATATTCTGATCACAGAAATTACCGACTAGATATGTAATTAATTTATAAAATGAAAACTAATTCGGTTAAACAAAATGTCTAAACAATAAATACTTATTTTATGCTTAACAATGAAATTTGTATGCAGATGCAGTTGTAAAAGGATATTTTCCTAGTTTTATATTAATCAATATCCGTTTAGTAAAAATGGAAATTGAGCTACCAGCTGGTACTGAATAAGCTCAAAAAATTTTAAATTCGTATAAATAATACGGCTATCATTTTTCAAAAGACCAGTAAACATGAGGATTTGAACATCTTTAGTAGAGTGCATCCAAATAGTGGATCTTCCTGCAAGAAGAACAAAAGCGATATAGAATTTCCTGATTCTCTCTACTTAAAAAGATGTAAGAAACTACATTCTTCAGTGTAAAAGCTTCAGAGATAGATGATCTAGAGCCGCCTGGATGAATTTATTTAATGTACTTACTATGAATCCCGTATAGAAATTTTAATAACTCTGAACTATTAATCAGTTAGTATACTTGTCGCTTTCATGTCTTGGTTTAACAATCGTACCTTGTCTCTCTAAATACTCTCACACGGCCACGCGTATACAGCCTCTGCCAGGGAAGTCCTACTCATTGCCTTCTCGTGGCGGGGGTGTTGTTTACGAAAATGAGAGGACGAAAAGCGAATGTCCGGCGCTTTAACCGGATCACAAACCAATGGTACACATGGGCTCCAGTAGCCTGCGGGAACAAATGGCGTATGAACCAATTGTTGGTCACCGGCTACCATGGGACTGCATCTCCTTACGATGCTCCACTGCCTTGTGGGTTAGACCTTTAGGTCAAAGGCTCGGGGTGTGGCCCTCTAAGATAACCACCTGCTTCGGTCTGGGCACCCGGGTAGTATCACAGCCCACACGCAAATGATGAACTCTCTATATCTATGGAAACTACTTTTCTCGCTTCGAAAAACAATCAAATAGTTCAAATTATTATTATTATTATTATTATTATTATTATTATTATTATTATTATTATTATTATTATTATTATTATTATTATTTCCACATTATTCACCCTCTTTTATACTTATACAGCGGCTCGTCTTTGGTGGAAATTCGACTGTATCTAAACGTTCTCGAGTCACTGTCCGGTTGAAAATTGTATGTTACCACCGAATACGAGTACTGAAGCAGTTTTTCTGAAACCACGTGCACCATTCAAACTGGCTGCCTTCAACGTTCGCACATTTATGCAGGTCGGACAACAGATAGGGCTGGCTATGTCTTTGGAAAGTCTTAATATCGATGTTGTTGTCTATCCGAGACCCGTATTCAAGACTCTGGCGAAGTACTACAAATTCGATCTCCATCTGTCGCTTCGAAAAGCTTGTTTTACGTGCGCTTATCCGGGGACCCTGTGGCATCTTCGTCTGGTCTTGCTGGCGTTGGTGTCGCACTAAGCGCTAGAGCTGAGGCAGCACTAGTCGATTGGATCCCCATTAACAGTCGGTTATGTGCTGTTAGATTAGAAAGTTCCATCAAAGTGAGAAGAAATCGGCGTGAGAAACGATGTCTTTTCGTCATCTCCGCCTATGCCCCGACAGATTGCAGCCCGGATGCAATCAAGGATGAGTTTTACCACCAGTTATCTGTTCTTCTCCAGAAAGTGCGTTCGACAGATATTGTAGTACTAGCCGGAGACTTGAATGCTCAGGTCGGGCGTCTAGGCACAGAAGAGAGTCGTTTAGGTGGCCGATGGGGACTCGTTGGTCGCAGGTCAGATAACGGGGACCGTCTACTGCAACTTTGCACAGACCACAACCTGTTTCTGGCTAGCACTAACTTTCGGCACAGTCATCGCCGATGTGCCACCTGGCGTCCTCCCTCTGCATCTCAAGCCTGGACTCAGATTGATCACATCGCGATCAGCTACCGCTGGCGTGGTTGTGTACAAGACTGCCGCTCCTTTTGGAGTACCTATCTGGACTCTGACCATGCCTTGGTCTGCGCCAATCTTGCCTTACTTTTCAGTGGACAACGAAGTGACCCCACCAACGGATTGATGTTAGCAAGCTGGTTGCAACTTCTGTTGCAAGTAAGTATCGAACCGAGCTAGCCTCTAGGCTAGCTACCACTCCACCGAAAAGTATAGATGAGCATTGGTTGCAATTGCATGACGCCATGAAAATGGCGGGAACAGTCAGTTGTGGGTTTGCGAAACGTCCCGCTTTAAGCACTGGGTTTCTTCTGGTTCCTTACAACTCATTGAAGCCCGTCGGTCTACTCCGGGTGACCGTGAGTTTGACCATAAACGAAGGATGTTACGTAAGGAAATTGGGCAAAGCTTGCGTAAGGACCGAGAAGCCTGGTGGTCGATGCGTGCTAATGAGCTGGAAGCAGCAGCTGCATCTGGTAACTACCGGAAGCTCTTCCAGCTCATCCGAGCCACTGGCAGCAAGAAGTCTGGTGTGAGTGAAACAATCTGCGAGGATGATGGGATGCCAATCACTAACATCCATCGACGTCTTGGACGATGGGCAGAATTTTTCGAAGGGCAGTTCAACTGGCCTGCTGCTCCGGCAACATCGGTCAGACTGTCCTGCCCTCCATGGCCGGTGACGACTGATCCACCAAATGAGGAGGAAGTCCGCAAGGAACTCCAACTCTTGAAGCGTTACAAATCACCTGGCCCAGATGACTTACCTCCGGCTCTTTTTAAAGATGGTGGTGACTTTTTGACTAAGGAATTGACGACGTTGTTTACAAAGGTTTGGGAACTAGAGAGTGTACCAACGTCATGGAATGAGTCGATAGTTGTCCCTATCTTTAAAAAGGGTTCACGTCGTTCCTGTAACAACTATCGGGGGATAAGTCTACTTCCGATTGCGTCCAAGCTATTGGCTTCCGTCATACTTCGTAGGTTGTTCAAAACCCGAGAAAGATTGACTCGCGAGGAGCAGGCTGGGTTTCGTTCTGGTCGAGGATGTATTGATCATATCTTCACCCTCCGCCAAATGTTAGAACACCGCCATACTTATCAAAGGCCAACAATCGTAGTGTTTCTTGACATCAGGGCTGCCTTCGATTCGTTGGACAGGACTGTTCTCTGGGATTGTCTATTGAAGAAGGGTGTGCCTGAGAAGTTTATTAACATCCTAAAAGCCCTATATAAAAACACCTCAGGCAGAGTGAGGGCATACAACCACCTCTCTCCATTGTTCCATTCGAGCAGTGGGGTTAGGCAGGGTTGCCCAATCTCACCATTCCTCTTCAACTTTGCCATCGATGACATTCTGGAAACAGCTCTGATGAATGTAAGTAATGGTGGTGTGGATCTGTTGCCTGGAGAAAGACTTCTCGACCTTGAGTATGCGGACGATATTGTCTTACTGTGCGATAATGCCCAAGGCATGCAATCCGCACTTAATCAGTTGGCAATCAGTGTCCGTAGGTATGGTATGTGCTTTGCACCTTCGAAGTGCAAAGTACTTCTACAAGACTGGCAGGATTCTAATCCTGTACTCACCCTGGATGGTGAGCAGATAGACGTAGTTGAGAAGTTCGTGTATCTGGGTAGCTGCATAAGTGCTGGTGGGGGTGTGAGTGATGAGATCAATGCACGAATAGTGAAAGCCAGAGCGGCTTATGCCAATCTGGGCCACCTTTGGCGCCTTCGTGATGTTAGTCTGGCTGTAAAAGGTCGGATCTACAACGCGTCGGTGAGAGCAGTTTTGCTCTATGCTTGTGAAACCTGGCCTCTCCGAGTTGAGGACGTTAGACGACTCTCTGTGTTCGATCATCGCTGTCTCCGAAGGATTGCTGACATTCAGTGGCAACACCATGTCAGTAATGCAGAGGTTCGGCATCGTGTGTTCGGGCACAGAGATGATAATTCAATTGGTGTCACCATCTTGAAACACCGACTTCGGTGGCTTGGACATGTTCTCCGAATGTCGTCCCAGAGAATTCCACGTCGTGCATTATTTGCCGACTCTGGGACTGGTTGGAAGAAGCGGAGAGGTGGTCAGTGCATGACATGGTGTCGTGGCATGAAAGAAAGCTGCAAAGGACTGGCTTGTGTTGGTCCTTCACGACTCCCTGGTTGGGGTCCGAGAGATGGTGCTACACAGTGGCTAGAGACGTTATCAGATATGGCTCAGAATAGAAGCCAGTGGCGATCCTGCTGTAACCTTCTTTTACTTTCTTCATAAAAAGTGGTTGTGTCTCCCTTACCTGAAAGATTTCTTCTGATTGTACCTTTCCGTTCCTTCGTTACTACCACACTACCTTACACAATCTCTTCGTTATTGTTCTCTTTTTTTTTGCGCTCCTTAGTTTTTTTTTCTTCTCTTCGAATTCTCATTGTTTTGTGTGGCGCATATATATTGGCGCTCTCTTGTACCAATATTTATGTATTCAAATAAATAAATAATGTCACTGATTACTGTAAGTATGTGCAGAATATCTAAGCTATCTCATGAGATTCCAATTTTTAAGTCTAATAATCAACTAATTTGCATAACCCAGTCAGAGATTGGAATGATGATACAATGAAGAGACCGACTCACGTGCTTTACATACTGCTCCAACCAAATACCTTCACATTGTCATTTCTTACAGCCATATGGTAGGGGTTACTTCCCCCCTCTGCTTTGCACTATCTATGTGATGTCGCACCAGTGCTACATATTATCCTGATTGTCATACTTGTTAATAGCTTGATAAATATTCTTGATTGTGAGTTTCAGTGCCATTGTTTACCTATGTGTATGGTTTGTTTCGATTTAATCTCTTGACGGGTATGTTTATGTTTGAATTATTTCATTTGATATTTTGCTAAAGTTTCACAATTCTCATCATGTTCTAATGGGCCTTTAATATGTATATGATACTGTTGCACAATCATTTATAAATTTTCATCTTTCAACCATCAAGTTCTTACTGAACATATTGTAACGGATTGAAATATTTCGTTTAATTCTTGTAATTTACTGTCTCATAAGGTTCGATGCTGACGAGTTACTTTCAGAATGTGACAGTATGCAAAAATTACTTACTTCATCTGATCTTTGTTCAAATGTTACTGAAATACAAAGTTTGACTCAACTATGGAATAAAATGTCACATGTACAACGTGAATTAACTTTACGCCACGTTGTCGACTCTGAACCAATAAATGTTAATAACTTATGCAAAATTGATGAATTATTACAGTTATCTAAACAGAAAAATGCTGAGATACGAGTACAGTAAGCAATTTTTTCAAATGTAACGATTATTGTTCGTTCCTGCTTTATTTTATAGTTTTCTCAAACGTTTGTTCTGTGTGTTTAGCCATAGGATAATCTACCATACAACAAATTACTGGAATAAGTACTTTAATATTGTTATTTTTCCACCTAATACATGGTTGGAAATTATTTTTCAGCTAAATCAATATATACCATAATTGTTCTTCATCAACGAAATAGTTATAAACGTGTAGAAACATGAATGCTACAATATACATATCTACTAAGTATTGGGCATTCTGAAGAGAAAGCGTACCTTTATCGTCATTTATAACATAACAAAGCTTGGCTCTGCTTATATTTATCCTGACAACTCGTGAAATTATGTGAACAAATAAATACAAATATATTTTCCTCTCTTTTGTTTATATATAACAGAGTGTTTTATTGAATAGATAATTCGTATTCTCTGTTTTGCTGGTGATACTACTTAGCTATTCATTTCGAGTCAATTTCTTCCTCATTTAACAATTGGGAGTAAAATATGATTGCTAGGCGTGATGGAGGTTAAATAAGTACCATAAGGTTCTTAATTTACAGTACACAGTGTGAGTAGCATCTGTTTTCTCGGTTTCTTGGAGGCCTGTGTTGGTTCATTAGTCAAATATCAAGGGCTAGTCATATGGTTTTGTATTTAGTTTGCTCCTCAGAATAAAAATACCACATCGTAACACTCGTGAGTTTAAGAATACTGCTCGTTAACTGGGCGCGAGTACTTTGTGTTTGCTGTCTTCTAGGCTAATTATCATTGCAACCCTGATGTCAGGTAGCTTTTATAGTGTTTTATCGATAGATTTGTTAGTCTTATTCACCTAATTTTTCAGAAGACATTTCAAGCACTTAGATATTAATATTTGGGTTCATGAGTCGATTTAAGGTAGACCACCACTGAAAACCTGGAAGCAGTTAAATATTAGTTAGTTGATATTTCAATGAATACGGTATCGATTATTTTGTGTTTGGTGAGTAAAATTTAAAGACAATTTGTTGAGAATGAGGCGAAATTAAAAAAGTTTTGGGTCAAGAGTTTGTAACAATTAATCAGTTGTTGAGTTATCTGTTCCCTTTTTTCATAGTTGCAAATACATAGTAGTTATATTCTGAATGGACAATAAGTAATTATGGGATATATTTTAAATGGAGACAATATTTTCCAATAAAGTTGATCAAACCGTTCTCGTTTTCTCACTAGGTTATTCACAAGTCATAGAAGGATGACTAACTTTTCTTAATTTCTAAGAATAGTTTGTAATGTAGAAAATTTTAGAAACGTAACGCAAATTATTTAATATTTTTCCGCTCCTCCAATAATATTCTTCATTTCTTGATTGACTCTCACTGTTGGTCTAAGTAATTCTTTAAAAGTATTTGGTGTAAATAACTCTGTGATAAAGAAAATATCCTTCTTTATAACTTTTTATTGCTCTTTTGGAAAGTATCATCATCCCATTATTAAATTACTTTTTTTTATTAATTAATCTTTTTGACGAGGGTCTTACTGTTTTCTTATTCTTAGGTGGTGTCTAATCTGTATTGTTTCCCGTCATTTACCTGCGTTGGATCACATTTTTGAATTTTTAAACAGTCAGGGTCGTATGAAGTACACTCGCACCATATATCGGTAATTAGGGTATATTTTGTATAATTTTCTTAACTAATAATCAACTTAATGTTATTTCTTAAGAAATTTCTCAAAAAACTTTTTGTATTCCACCTAAAGTGATTAAGAATATCCTAAGACATATAAACGCAGTTCTAGTTAAACGGTTATTTAAGACTGAAGAAGGATAGACAGCTGGAAATTAGGCCCTCAAAAATACGAGGTTCGGCTTGTTTCTTTAGTTTTGTTAACATGTTCTGTGAACTTTCGAAATATGTTTATATCGATTTATTTAGGGATTTCACAACTAATAGTAAAACGTCGGTTTTCTAAATTAAGGTGCTTAATATTGCGCATATCTATCGATATTCTACACAACACATATATGTGAGAACACAGAACAAATATGCACTTGGTTATTGAACTTCATTTCTTAGTAAAATTAAATAAATCACTAAGGTGTTTTTGACGTTCATGTGATTTCAAAATTCATTTACTATCCGCAATTCATGGTTGGAATTAAATTTAGAATCTATCGATTCTAGGAGTATGTATCTAATATATTTTTTTCAGAATCCAAGTGAAATCGACTTTCGGTCCTTTGTTCTTTGTTAAAGTCGAAACGTCACTATATGTCTGGGTATTTAAACAAATTAAGACATAATTAATAAGAACTTTCGTCTAAATTTGAACGAATAGTTTCACAATATTGTTGAAAAAGTTGAATTCATCTCATTATATCTACAGTTAAGGAATACACTAACTGTTGGTATGAGTCGTATAGAAAAGTCTATTCTATTCTTAAGATAATAAGAATGTTATCGAAGATTATAAGTAGTATCTTAGACTGTACTACAGTGATGCTGATATAGTCACTCTTTAATAATCTTCATGCTGCGTTAACTGATGTCATTTTGATTTTTTTAAACATCTTTCCTTCATTATTCATTTCGTGGTTTTGTGATCTTGTGAACTGTGAAAACTTGAACCTATGTCTTTTTGTTGCTCTCAGGTTTAACATTAGTCTTAGTTTTATACTAGTATGAATGGTCTTTTCTTCTTTAATTTCACACACTTCTTATGTAATTTTTACTCAGCGCTTTAAACGAATGGCCAGAAGCTAAAGAGCGAACAATAAACAATTTCTATGAACAACGTCCATTTATGCATCAAACAACTGCAATGCTGGTTGAAAGGGATTTAAATCTTCATGAAAATGGGAAACCTATATCTACTGCTTAAATTCAGATAAATTTACAGATAACATGTATAAACTTTGATGTGCATTATAATTGGTACTGTTGTTATGTACCGATTCAATATTTCATTTCTATGTTATGGTAATAAATTATTTCGTTTAGGTTTATTTTTCATAAAATGTAAAATTCTGTTTTTCTGTCCGAATTAAGTAATAAGTACATAAAATGAATTTGTTGTTCTTGTTTTGTTTTTCAAGCCGATAAAATGATTTTCAGTTTGTAAGGTACAGGAAGCTGGATGGCTTGCGCAAATTTAATAGCCAGTAGGCTAAGTGCCTGTCTATCCACGCTCAATGAACAATCACATGCTGCTTTCACTACCACATATCAAAAAAGGGAAATTATATTTTCAGTATGGAGATTTCTGATCACAGTTATATTTGTCTAAGAGAGGTTGTAAGTACGTTAGTCAAATTATGACTACTATTGGTTAATTGGCCTTGAGGGTTGGCTGGAGGGGCGAGAATCGGTTGAATATATTTCTTTTGTACACAGCTTCAGTTTCGTAATCTGGATGGATACTGCTTTCGTCATTTGAAAAACAGTCTGACAGACTTTGGCAAAAAATGACTGGCCCAATAAGTAATTGAAAAAGATTGGCTTGTGCTGGCACTATAACCAGTTTGGTCTAAATGGGCCAATATCGAACCGCTCCCTTTCTTCACTAGACCTTTGTTTAGCCATACTAGGAGGTGTTCGCGAGCACGAAAATGTAAATTCCTAGAACTCCAACCAATATAACTTGCTCCACAAGAGCAGTCGAACTGATAAATACAAAAATGAAGTGGTCATTCTAGGTAATTCATCTTTTTAGCCTTGGTGTCGCCATTGGGCGTGTATAGAACACTGGCCCTACTTCTCCGGCGGTGAATGACTTTTGAGTTGTTCTGTGTAATCTGTGGACGAACGTTTCGCTGGCTGCATCCCCTCTGAATTTTAGGCCCGTGGAAAAGGATTTCTTATTCGCTGTTTGTACATAATCAGCTTAATCATTACACATAACTGCGATTATTCTAGACAGGTTTTTATTACAAATCATGTTAATTATTTTGTGATTCTAAAGGAACTACAAAAAGTATTCGTTTCACTAATTTTGCTTTATCAATGCTTTTTTAAATCTTTTGAAAATACATTGCTTTAAAATCATGTAAGCAAACGTGTAGCAGCCTCATGTTTGTGAGTAAGCAAACACAATGAATGAGCTATTTTCGAACATTTAAAATCATGTTTTAGCTTTATTACAGATGATACAATCAAATGGAATAAGTTAAGCAAAGTCACTCACATCCGAAATTGTCACAATGTTAATTGAAAGCGACAATGTTGAAAACATAAATACAATTGTTTGATGGAGATCATGAACCGATTGATGTTATATCACCATTGAAAACCTGGGAGAACTGGATGGCCGTTTCGTCCTATTGCGGGACTCATACACGATCTCGCCCGTGGGATTCGAACTAAGGGCCCTCAGTCTGAGCCGACAGGCATCCAACGGTGTTAATGTCTAACCTCAACCAAACCACGAAATTGCACGACCATCTTCCATTGCAATGAGGTAGATACCTGTCCCTATAAAACAGGAGAGATCGTGGATGCACACTGCCGAGTCACACGATAGGACGAAACGGCCGTCCAGTGCTTCCAAGTTTTCATGGGTGGTCTAACATCAATCGGTTCATGATCTCAATCGAAATCGTAATAATTTCCACAACCCTATACTGATAATTGTTTTGCTTCTAAAATAAACTACAAATAATATAAACCTCCATTGATCATCAATCTGATTATTGTTTCTCACAGAAAATTTGTTACTCCCCAATACTTGATTCTCATTAATAATCATACCAGGTTTATACTTTCACACCGTCTTTTTGAAATAGCCGGTTGGAAAAATATTGTCCATTATGTACAGTATTCCACATATCTTTTACGAAAGTCGTCAATGAGTTGGTCTTGGTGATTACGAGTGCACAAAAAGAACCAAAATCTCTGTTAAACAGATCATGTTTATGTCTCATTCAGTGACTATCGTGTTAGCGAAATTTCCTATTCTAAAAAAATATAAATCAATGTATTCTCTGCGTTTAGCCTAGAACATGTCAGGAAATCTTAAATTCACGACTTGTGAAGACTGCATTTTGTACTCTGATATTCTGTATTGTATCGGACACAGAATTTCGTTTAAAACGTCGAAGGAAAGGGATGAATTTCAGTTTGTGTTACGTGTTCACATTTATGTACTGCTTGTTGTGGATGCGGAGGAATAGACCAATAATTATCATGTTAAGTCCAATGGTGTCCTTGGACTTTAAATGGACATTTCCTATTGGTTGGTATCTGTTCACTTGTTGAATATTGTACAAAATGTTGTTTTCTATTTTATGGTACGATGTGGTATGCTTGATTGGTATATAAACAAAGTATGTTTGAAATATAATGATTCATATCTCAGAGGTTGTGACTTGTGTTCTGGACTCAACTGACTGGGCTAGACAGGTAAGCGAGACCAATCGAGACTCTAGGCCGTCCGTACGTGTTTACGTGTCATTGAATCGATCGATAAGTACGGTGCTCTCTAATTTTCCAGTCAAGGACACAAAATTAGCACAGGGTAAAAATCGACCCAACTCAAATTCATAACACTGCTGGATTTCTTACAAAAATGTGAGGAAGTGTTCTTTTATGAGACGAAATAATTTGGTTTCCTAAGCATTTCACCCTCACCATTAGTTTTTGGTCATTCACTGTTAACTACTTGTAAGTAGTTAAATTTTATTCGATAATATTTTCAAGGGTGTTTCGATTACCATCTGGGAAAACATTGAACATTTATTTACTCATAGTCCAAGGTTTTAAGAAATTGACGTAACAATGAATTGCAAAGTTCATAGCTCATAAAATTTCTCAGCTGTATGGTTTAATACAAGTGTTTATCAACATTTGTCTACGCAAAATACTTCGAATCCATTGGCCAGACATTATCGGCAACAACCTACTGTGAGAAAGAACAAACTAGATTCCAGCGGGGGAAGAAGCGCTGGGAGTGGATAGGATACACATTGAGGAAAGCACCCAGTTGCGTCACAAGGCAAGCCCTCACATGGAGTCCTCAAGGTCAAAGGATAAGAGGAAGACCCAAGGAACACATTACGCCGAGAAATGGAGAGAGATATGAGGATAATGAACAACAATGGAATAGGACTAAAAAGAAAGGCCAAGGACAGAGTGAATTGAGGAGTGCTGGCCTGCGGCTTGTGCTCATTTGGGAGTAACAAGCGTAATTAAATAAGCAAATAAATAAATAGTTTGGTCGTGAAGTTTTCGTTGTCTTTTGAGATGATATCATCAAGGATTCCATTGATTATTAGATATTCGATTTCACGATCTAGCATTGGATGGTCCGGGAACTGTGTTATTCATTGTCCAAAAACCTAAAGATTTGCTGGAATTCGTGCATACAGAATTTTAATAAGGTTTTTGGTGTCTTTGATCAGTATTTCTTCCCAATTTCTCTATCGAAGACTAGACTGTATCTTCTTTTTAAAGTTTGTCGCGTAAGTGTTGCTAACTTTGGAGCTGAATATTTCCAACTAAGAGTACTCTATAAGTTTTAGGGTAGTTTGTGTAACCAACACATTTACTTTTTATTAACCTAAATTTTATGGAACTATTCCGAATTTCACTAAATGCTTATTACCATCAAAAATGTTTTTGTCTCTTGGATACCAAAATACAGAATAAACATAATTAATTAGAAGCCAAAATTATTAACGTTTAGATGATAGTCTTTTTTGTAAGTCACATACAATCTAATCAAAATGATGCTTTATTTTCAGATGTAATTCTTCTAATCAACAATTTCAGAAAATTCACTCTGAAGTACAACATGTTAAATTTCACTTCCAAATCACATTTTACTGAAAATATTTATTCACCTCGTTTTTTTTCTTATCTGATTTTCTATTTAGTAATAAGTATTATAGTATAATTCTAGACAGCTTAGTCAGTATAAACTTATAATAATAATTAAAATAACCCATAGCGTCATCAAATAAGAAAAAGAGAATTCAGCGAAGAAAATTTTTTTCGACGAAATCATTTACTTAAGCTGTACATTCGTATATATAGTTATATGGAAACTATATGTCTATAAGAGGATAGAAAAAATTGCATCACCAAAATGGATTCGAGGATAAATAACAAATGAGGTTACATGCTAATCAAGGGATAAGGAAGAAAATCGTTTATGGGTCAGATAATAGTCCAATTGTTTAAAAATCTCCGTCATATTAAAAGACTAGTATTTGAACAATGATGAGAATTTATCGAAAAGAATATTCTTCGTTCAAATACTAGTCTTTTAATAGTCCAATTGACAAATATGAAGAAAAGCGACAAACACAAAGGTCATAATAATAGACTGAATAATCATCAAGAAAACTTGTTTGAGGTAATAATAATGACTCGTTAGAGTTTAAAATGACAAATAGTAATTTTAAAAATTCGATAATAATCAAATAAAAGTGCAGAAAAAAAAAACAAACATACTCATTATAGGAACTAGGGCCACGGAAGGATGAGGGGTTGGACAAATCGTTTCTGCACGCAAAGTTCGGGCTTGAGTTCGTGAATTGCCAATGCCTCAGCAGTGTATTTTGATGATGCAATTTTTTCTATCCTCTTATAGACATATATAGTTTCCATATAACTATATATGCGAATGTACAGCTTAAGTAAATGATTTCGTCGAAAAGGAAATTTTCTTTACTGAGTCCTCTTTTTCTTATTCTGATAATAATAATAATAGTAATAATAATAATAATAATAATAATAAAACCTTCACTTTCAAATAGTCTAGTTTAGAAAGAAAGAAAGAAAATATTTGGACAATATGTATATTAGTATGTTGTAAATACCTTCAGGTAACCACTGCTGATAATAAATTTTGTAAGAGAAAAACGATGCCATAAAACTAGTAAT